ATAATAATAATAATAATTCAGACCTTTATAACAGCTAATTTCCCTTCCATTTTGTTTAAATCTAACCTTCTTCAGCAAATTCATTGAATTACATACAAAAGAGATGATGGCTATCACATTTAATGTTCTATTCTATAACAAGCACTACGGCAGTCCTTTATTTTAGAGTGTTATAGTTAAAGCAAAGCAGAACTAGGAAAAAGGAGATTAAAAGGAGATTTAAAAAAATAATTCTGATCTCAGAAAAATAATCAGTTTTAGGTTGCTACTTGAAGAGACATGAGGAAGACAAAGTATAATTTTGACATGAGTGTCCAAAAGAAGAAATTCAAGAATATGATCAAATGTCTTGTGTCACTGGAAAACAGGAAATGGTGCTAAGAGAAAGCATGGAGAGAAAAGATAAACGGAGTAAGAACAGAAGGCTTATTGGCTGATAATCTTCTTTCCCTTCTCCTCTGTACAGGAAGTAAAAATTTAGAGAAAGCTCTAAAAAGCGAGAAGAGCACTTCTAAAGGCATGGAAACCTTTGGGAAACAGTATCGCAATGAGAAGAACTGATGGGTCACTGCAATGAGAAACTATGGAGAACTTCACATGCAGAGGACAGAACCTGAGAATTAAACAAGAGTCATACATAGAAATCCTGACTTTCAATACCAAGAAGGGGCAGAAACCATACTTAAGGTGATCTTAGACTGAGCAAGATGAAGGAATATAGAGGTGTGAAACTCAAAGCAGTTGTCAATATACTGCTTCCTGGGGTTAGAAATAAAAACGAAAGGTAAGGTAGCAGTTTGAGACGTGTGTGTTGGTCTGCAAAGACAAGGGATACCAGAGAAATTCTTTAACCAGCTACTTCAATTCATTATATTTAGGTATTCCACTAGCATAAAACAACAAATATGAGAAGTTGGAGTAGAAAATTTTAAACACAATTATCTCATTTCTACTGACAAACTCAGCTGTCTTGTACAGCTCCATTTTACATATTCATTTGAGAAAATACTAAAATAAATAATTCCTAAAAAAAGCTCTTTCTTAACCTACACATGTAGATGGATATTGCAGAAATACATTCAAAGATCACTTGAATATATCAGATTCCATTCCCGTAGCAGTATGAATAATTTTGGAGCGGAGTTTTCCAACACGTGCCGTAGAAAATCTCTCAGATCATGTTAAATCTCCATTCTGTAGAACTTTTATTATAAATCCAGATTTAAGAGTTTGTGAAGATTACTTACAATACTGACATCTGTCTCCTGTATACTCAGGCAAGCAGTTGCAAAAGGGCTGATTCCCAGCAGTGACGCTGCAGGTTCCTCCGTTTTGGCAAAAATGATCGCAGACTGTCTGATTGCAGTTTGGTCCTGTAAAACCCAGCGCACAGTTGCAGGTAGGCCTCCCTATTCAGAACAAAGAAAACTATTTTATGCTAAAAATAAATAAACATTAAAATAATAATTAGCACTTTAAAGATAGATATATTTACCATAACAGTAGCAAGTTTTAATATTTGAGCTCAACTACGTTTCTCTAGACACTAAAAAAACCCACATTCCTTTGCAAATGTTGCTTCAATTCAGAACTTTTTAAAAAGCAAGTCAGCATTGTAAGACATGGACGACTCAAAAACTGGACCTGTGCACCTTACACTTGTGCAGGTATCGTCATTGGCTCTTTGGGAATTATTTTAAAAGGTGGTCTTAAGTAGGAATTTAAGATATGACTAAGCTCTTCATATTATCCTGTCAGACTGGGTTCCTCCAGTTGCAGAAGATAAATGTTTGTATAATCAGCATCAATTTCTCTTCAGAATACACGCCATTATTCTCAAATCTACAAACCTTTACATATAATCACACAAATGTACAAATATTTACTAATGCATCAATAGCCAACTTTGCACAACAAGTTTTACTACAACACAAATATCTGTGCCTGATTTGTTATCCTATCCCTCTCACACAATAAATACTGGAACATAAAAATTGCTGTCTTGCATCAGACCAAAGATGCCTGTAGGGTCAATATTCAATGTCTGAAAAGTAATGAACACCTAGGGATGACCATTTGCACAAAACGAACTCCTAGTCTGTAGCTTCTCTTTAAAGGGTTTTAAAATAGTGTTTAAAACCTGATGCCTTCTCCTCCTATGATTCTTCCCTATTGTAATTTTCCCATTTTTTTGCCTTATCTAAATCTCATGTCTAAAGGATTTATAGCTTTGTTACAATCCCACTGTATTATTAAACTCTTCCACTTTACCCTGATTTTTTTCTTAAGGCTTATCTTCTTTGAAACAAACTTCTGTATCCCATAAATGTTCTTCTGTCTCCTGACTTTGCTTTTATGTCTCATTTGTAATCTTCTCTTCAAATAAATGACATGATGTGTCCAACTAGCCATGTCCCTTCTCACTTCCTAATAGTCTATTCTCATTCTTGTTTATCTCATCTCTTACAAAACATTATTTCCCCCCCACGCTCCTTCCCTTTCATTCAGCCTTTAGAGTTTTCTTAAACTTAGGGAAAACTGACCGACTTTAATACTTTTCTTCTTCCTGGCTTCCAAGATGGGTAAGGAAAGAGATGAAGATTAATCGGGAAATAAAATTCTGCAATAAAGGGGTAGACAGGATGGTTTTGTTTTGAATTGTAAGGAACTCAACCGGCTGGCAAGTATAATCAAGAGCTTAACTGCGTCACTGCAGAGCGAGGGCAAAGACTCATCCCTTTGAGTAAAGTCACAGACATAGCACACCTCTGAGTAAAGGACCATGCACAGGCTAGCAATAGCCAAATAGTAAATAGGTATCAGGCAGAACAAACAGAATATCTCGTAAGTAGACTATGGAAAACCAACTAGTAACACGCATGCTTTACATAAACGGTAAACATCTAAGAATTAAGATGGGAGAACTGAAGTGAATAGGAACATCAATATCATTTGCTATAGCAAATTCGGAAAAGGCAGGCAACTAATGGGCTGTTGTAAAACTAATACACATTTCCTTGATATCTAGTCTTTGCCCATGATAGAATAGGGCTACATGTCAAGAAGTGTTAAAGTCAATCAGATTAACAGGTTAACTGCATAATGTACTGTATGTGCGATGCAGAAGCCCTTTGGACTGGAATTACAGGCACATCCAGGAAAAATAGCGTGTTACATTTTATTATTTGACAGTCAATCAAGGTAATGATATGGCTGTGGAATCCAAAAGAGATCAGAGAAAGTCAGGGAATACGTTAATGATGAGAGACTCCAGTTATCCCTGTGTTTACGTTTGAAAAACTTCACGCCAGAAGGCAGAAACTAACAACTTAGATATAAACAATCCTACTTCATGGAGGGGTGGGTTAGCGAGTGCACAAGAGAAGTTGTGCTTGACTTGGGCCTGACGGTTTAAAACATACAGAAGAGCCAAAATCCCAAGGAGTTCAATGAAATAATGTTTAAGGGTTACTTTTCTGTAATAATTGTGTCTCATCTTCCTACTAATCTACCAGGAAACCCTTACCGCTGCCTGATTTGCTGATGCATTATGACTAGGTCCCTTCCTTGCTGTCTTCTGTCTCATTTGTTGTTTCCTCATTTTAATACGATGTCTGATGTAGATATCAACAACTACCTTCACATTCGCCTTCTGATGTCTTTTACCACAGCTGCATCTAAAACTGTGAAATGTGCAACCCTACTTACCTTTATTTTTGTTCCTTCTCTATTTAGTAGGCTATATCTATTAAAGTAATGTAGATTAAACTAAATATTCCATAAATCCCACAACTGTAATTTTCTTCTGGTCTGCTTTTGTTTTAATACTATGCAATCATTTAATGTCATATTCATTGGAGAATTTTTCAACGCAAGGGAAGCGCCCTCATTTTTTCTAGTCTGATTCATGCAAGATGATTCATTTATTCTTTTTCCTTCACTTACTTCTTACTCTTACATGAAACCCTTCACGTACTTCTTTTCTATATTTTCTATTTTAAGCTATGCTAATTTAAAGTGTTTTGCAAATCATCCTAAAGGCCATGAGATCAGTTAGTCTCTTCCTCTAATGAGTACAGCAGGAACAAAAACATTGACTTAAAAATAGCTCCAACTAGTTTAATATGCATCAGCCTGGTTATTCATATCTGTCTCCTGTGATCTAAACATTAAATCAAAGATGTTGAACTCAGATGTTAGCACAGACTCTTTTTGTTTTTCCCCATGTATACACTTGTATTGAAAGTTCTTCCCCTAAGCCAGGGGGTTTCACATAATCCTTCATCTGAATCAGTGTTTCAATAAAAAAAGTTAAAATACGATAGTGATAGAACATAGATTTGGAGGCCTGAAATAAATTTTTATTATTAATATTCCTCTATTTTTTAAAATGATGAGGCAATGATATTTTCCTACTTTGTAGAAAAGATTATTCTATTCTTTGCTAATGTAGGCTTATAAATATGCCAAACTGCTGACAGTTACATGAAAATTTACTTCAGTATAGCCTAAACCCCATTTTTGTCACTCAATTTAACATGACTTTTAGCAATGTTAATAGTTCATTGCCTATTTATACACAGATTGTTGGCATCCAAAATAATACTAATAATGACATTTTAATCTGTCTTATTTCTGATACAAAAATAAATTATTTCTGATACAAAATGGTTCCAAGAACAGTTTAATAAAACTGCAGTATTAAACAATGACAAACAACGCCATAAGGTTTTGTGTCACAGAATCAGTATATTGATTCATGTTTGCAAAGGAAATAGTCACGTTAACCAAGATGTCAGATATCCTAACGAACGTCGCATGGTAATCTCTTGCACAGACAACTTCAGCATTTACAGTGATCATGAAGTTTCAGGATTAGAGCTGTGCAGAAACAGAACTACAATTGTCTCTTAATTCCCAACCTTCACCACCACAGAAATGTTCAGAACACATTACAGCATAGAAAAATATGAATAAGGAAAGTGGTTGATGGAATGCTAACTGCTTCAAATGCAGATAATAATCTTTTGGGGTATTTTATGTAAAAAAGAGCAAAATTAATCTTCTGAAAGAAAACACAAAAACATTTCCTTGTTTTGAACTCTTCCTTCTTCAGTGCAATTCTCAACTGGATTTACCTTATGACAATACTATCTTCTTTTCCTCTGCCTATTACAGATTAGCAACCTAGCTTTCACCTATCCTCCTCTTCAGTCTCTTCTGTAACATAATAATCTCAAGAAAAATTTCCCGTTTCAATTACCTAGAGTCAAAAAATGTTGTTTGTCAAAAGTGGCGAGGACAAGGTGGCAGCACATTCTCAGCATCTCATGTGTAAATGTTCCAATTTCAAAGGCACAGTAATAAAATCCAGAGAGCAAGAAGCACATCTTTTTTGAACAAGATTTCTCCACATTCAGTGACTGAAAATGAACGTGCATGCACTTTGCTATTTACTATCTCTAATCCAATTCTTCGATACATGGTGTTCCTCACTACAGGTATACGGAAGCGGAAGCATGATGCATGTAGGCCCTATATAGAGGAGAGTATTTTGTATTTAAAATAATTCTAAACAACATTTCTAAAGAAATGAATGAAAGGGTGCCTGGTAAGACACTTGAAACAAGTAACAAAAATTATAATGAAAATTCTCTGGGGAAACAATGTACTTGAAAGTCACTATTCTCTGAAGAGTCTTTCTGTATCCTCTCTCTTAAAAAAATAAGAACAATAATTTACAGAACTTTTGTCTTAATTCTAAAACTGATAGAACTTGAAACAAACTTATAAATTTCTCATCTATTTTTTCAAATGTTTTGCACAGAATTCAGTAAGTTAATGGAGAATACTTTATGGTGACCCTAGGACATATGAAGTTATTTTTGGCAGTAGGACATGAGCAGGACAATACGTGTTTTGGCATGAAGATGAAATGCAGTTTCCTCTTTTCTTACAAAGAAAAATCATCCATAAGAAGATGGTAGAGATCAAAATCCTAAAATGTTCAATGAGAATTTGATTACAGAGGATGTAGTTACTGCTACTTTGCCAATTTAATTTGCTATATAATAGCAAATAACTTTCCAAATCATCTTCAAAAATCGCTAATCAAATATTTTAGTGCATTGTCTCTGTAACATTGAGGTGATTCCTTTCTAGTCATATTTACATTTATTTTGTAATGAACAGAACTCTAAGGAGATCAACTTTGATTCATGGTATTGCCTAAATAACAGAGAAATATTATGTATTCTATATGGCCACATAAATTATTTTGCAATTTAAAAAAAAAAAAAAAAGGAATTATTTTTGTAAGCTTTCTGAAAGTTTTGAAAAATGAGATCATCCCGATGAATACCTGCACCAAGACACAGATAATTTATTTCTTCCAGTCAATGGTTAATTC